CTGACGAGAGTTCAACAAGTCGAGTTGGTACCTTGCGGCCTCATCAACTAGATCCTGCTGTTTTCCTCTGAGTGAGCATATGTTCCAATTTTCGGTGTCGTTCTCGTGAATCCTAATCTGACGTGGTACAAAAGCATTGTAGTACCTACCTCCTCGGTTCAGAGTGGATAGCGGCACCATTGCTGATTTTTATCATCTTCGTCATTTTGTTGATATATCATCTAGCAGCCATTGTGCTGTCACTGCGCCCAAATCTGTCAGAGGGTGGGAGCAGGTTCTGATCATCGATTTTCTGCAACCTGCTTCAGTCCTGAACAACCCTCGCGGCCGTTGGAAAGCCGGACGACGACAGAGGCAGTGTAACGTTCTGTGGCGGCAATACCATGAGAGGGAAATGACTCTGTTTTTCGGAAACCTCCCCAGAGTCTCAAACCGTCCTTCATTCTTATCCGGGTTCAGGACCGGCAACAACTAAGCTAGATAGTGATTTGTGACTTTTTCAGTATTAACATTTGTAGGCGTTACGAAGTGCCATGTCATCAGAAGGTCATATAAGATTACAATAATGAGTTCCAATAAACAAGGGAGCAACTTAAACTTGTGGGATGCTGCTTAATGAAGATTCTTCAGTGCACCATTGCCTACCATGCGAAAAAAGACGGTGGCAAAGCTGATGATAGAATGTGAACAGCCTGCAGAGCATGGGAAAATATTGATTTACTCTGTTGAGCTTAAGAAACCAGCTTATTAGGCGTACAATTCTCAAACCGTTAGAAGAATAAAACAAGACATAACCCTGCAGCACTCGGTCTAAAATGGAGCAATTTGGCCATGCGCAGGAATCAGTTAGAGAAAATCTTTCAAGTACCAGACAGCCTACCTTCATACAGGGTAAGGCATCAGCAACTGATTAATTTGTCTGAAGGAAAATAACATCAGGCTTATCGTTATTTCTCGCTGAAAAAGAGCTATCCTGGTGGGTTAATGGATGCTAATGGTAATTTGAAAGTTAAAATTTAAAATTTTCGTGAGTCAGTAGAAAGTTGCGCAGGGTGGAATAAACAAATGAATAATATGTAAGAATTTGACTGTTTACGCTGATCCTGGCAAACGGATGACGTTAGGAAGAAAAACAAGAATGACTGCGTGCAGCAGGTCTCTTTTGAAAAGATTTTTGCTCTCACAGGAAATTGGTTCTGGGAAGCCTTACGCAAATACACTCTGAGACAGCAACCAGTTTCATACCCATCATATGGGTATTAAAAACTTTGCTGAAATTTTCCGTTCCTTCCAGCATACGTTGGTACCAAACAAATTTCGATGGGATTATCTGGCAAAAACGAATCTTTACTAGTGCATGAACAAAATAACGCATTTCATAATTGCATCAAAAATCCCGTTGCTTTTCACGTTATGATGTGCAGGGTTATTCATAGGTTTTTGCACCACATACAATGTGGGATTTTGTCCGGCGTCTGTCCTGATTTCTGTATGCAAAGAAATCTAATCGAAAACGGCTATGCGGATGCATGAGGAAGTGAGTCCTCCAAAGAACTATTTAAGGGTCGTATCGTGAAGGTCTGAGATGTGTCTTTGTCTCAAACAGGTATTCTATTTAGGGTATAGCGTAATTAACCGTCCGGCTCAGAGAGCAACATCTACGACAACAAACAACCTTTGCCAGCCTTATCTTAGAGAAGGATCATGAAATACGGGTCGGCAAGCCCTTAGCAGTCGATTGCTCATTAGATGGTATCTTTTGCGTTGTGCATGACTAAAGTGTCATGGCAAAAAATGGTCAGTAGTCACTCCTTCGCTACGACTGCCTCATCAACCGGTAGTTTTGGGTTAATCACAAGGCTTTAGAGTTGTTGTGAAGACTGGGGTACTTAACTTCGCCGCACTTTGCCCTGACATACGAGCGGGTAGTGACATTTATACGTAGTGGGCGTTTTCTGAATCGATCACATGGCATTTCAGAAACACATTGTATTGTGAATAGATCCAATAAGAGGTCGGTTGTTTCGTTACTCGTTGATGCCAAAAACTGATGGAACAGAAATAATATTTTTCAGCCTTCTGTGTGTTATGATGCGAGAGCAAGAGTAGCACTTGAGCGTTTTGTACTTATCCTAGCTCTAATGATGCTAAGGTTTATTTAGCGAAACACGTTGGCAATAAATTGTTTTACCATCTGTTATATTTTGTACCCCAAACTTTGAATCATTCAACCACCTATTTAGCTTTGATTAGAATTAGGCATTAAAGGAGCGTTTAAAACACGGCTATGGCAGCATCAATTGCTTGTAGCTGTCGAGACAGTTGTCTCCATTAGCCTTTAAGATGTCCTTCAGCTGGCGAAGCTAGTGATTAGTTGGAATCGAAAGAATTGAATGATCACCTACAGTATGAAGCAAAACAGCTGATTTACATCAATACTGCAGTATAATCATTACATCGAATATATGCCAAAGTCATGCGTATGCTTCAAAATATCATAGTGGGACTATATAAGCAGGTCAATGGTACATGATAACTGAGTGCCTGCAGCGCGCATATGACGACAACATCGCAGTGTTGGCTCAGTTCATAACACTCAGAAGAAACTTTGCAATCCGAAGTGAATTCCTCCACCACCTTCCACTGCGTTGCTAAGCCACCAACAAGTCTTTGGTCGATTATGATTTTGTACTGAATAGTATTCAGGGGATTTTACAATTGATCATCAGCAAGATTTCTTGACCAACCTTTAAAAATTTAATGCCACATCATGTAATCAATATGGAACTGTTGAACACTTACTGCTTTTGCAGGGCCAGAAATGTTATCTAATGATGACTCTGGTAAATTATTTCCGGTCTGGAGCGAATAGGACGACCCTTTGAGTAGTAAACTGGACGCCCTCCGTTCCGACCTTGAAGAGTAAGCAGCAGAGCGCGATGTGCAGGGATCATTGTACAGTTGAATACATGACCAGAAAGAAGTTAAGAAAAGGTCAGCGAGTTTTACATCGCTGGCGACTGATGCTCAGTCGACGACTCCTTTGTTTCGAAACCGCCAGAGATCGTTTCACATGAATGAAACTATCGCCGTTCACGCTTCGGCGGCCGCCGGTGATGAGGTTTGAAAGATCAATGAACGCGTAAACCACATTAATAGTTATATGATGGCTAATCAAAGGAAACTTTCTAAAAAACGTGTATGGTGTTACTGTATCATAATTTTTGCGCGTTTAATGAATGTTCATTATATATGTGCATTATTTGACATTTCCGAATT